CCCCCCCCCCCTCACCCTCACCCGCACCCCCTCCAACCCACCACATCACCCCATTCAGCATTCTTGACTTTCCTATTTAGATACCCCACTAGAGCACGGTACAAGTAGACTGCAATTTAAATAACAAACGCGAGTAGTAGAGACCGATAAAGAAAAATATATAGCCTTAGTATACTTACAGTCTGGAGATCGGTGCCCCATTGTCTTCATCGAGAATGGAAAGTCTACGCAAAAACCCAGCCTTTTCCCCTAAAAAGCTGTCGCCTAAAGCCCGCAGACAACGTCGACTTAGAAAAAACGTCAGACAACACAAGTTGACAGTGGCAGAAACGGCCAAGATTTGCTGACATGCTGAAAGCATGATCAAGGATTTTCTCGGCAAAATTGTCTAAGTTCACCATGTATATTTCCAGCAAAATCATTAACTGACATCCACTGAGCTTTCTAAGTAAGCGCAACGTTCACGGGCGCTGTCCATACTGTCATCTGCAAGGCAAATCCAAACAGAACTGATAAGTCTTGTTTGACCTGACTTACATGTATCACGTGCTTTTGGGGCTGTTTTTTTATTCGACGTCTGTTCATTTAAGCATCTTGTGTTAAACCCCTTTTAGCCACCTAACCCTTATCATATCGACCCGGAAAGTTTAGGATAAAAATAAAGACTTCCTGGTCCTGGCCAATAGAGTTGCAATGCGTGACGTCACGGCGTCAAGGGGCCGTTTCATGAAAGCATCTCTTTACAGGTAAAATCGTTGTCTTCTTCTAAGATGATGTTTACAATGTGATAAGCACACATTCTTTAAATACACAACAGTGCATCATGAACCGGTTGCTAAAACTCAGAAATCACCTCGTTACACGGGCCAGTTTTATCAGTTGAACAGATCATGGGGAATTCCTAACGAAACAAGTATCTCGTTTGCCTTAAACTAGCAGTGGTCGTGGTACAGCAATATATCCTAGCAAAATTATCCCTGACCTCTATTATACTTACAGAGAAATATTTTTTAATAGAAGCTACCCCGTCCCAGTAAATTTTCATTACGACAGTACGATTAATGAAGGCCATACATGTTAAAGATCATAAATCAAATTGTTGAGAAAAATCAATCAGTGTGCTAAAATAACCTGCTCCAACGTGACATCTATCATGTGATGTCCTAAACATGATACATGATAGATCTCTTGTCAATTGTATTCAGATTTAAAGGATGGCAGCAAAGAAGGACACATTTTGCTTTTGTGAAACCCTGTCGTGTGCTGGCAGGAAGTAGAATGAACTAAATTGATAATACCTCAGACCACACCTGGTGGGTCAATAGAATCGAAGTAGGGATCAGGTCATCCTAGGAATAGACCAATATACCCTTTGTCACCCAACCAAAGACAATCAATTAAGTCTGGTCTGAGTCTCACAACAGAACTGCATAATGCTTTAAATGATCTTAAATTTCGGCATATTTTATAATAAATTTCTTTGCGAAGGAGGTTGGGGAGGGGGTGAAGGGTTATTTCTTCGTGTCAGTGTGTACTGGTCAATGTCGTAGTCCAGGTTGCATTCTAACACGCTGTCTTAAAGGTTTTTATGTAAGTCATCTACCTGTATTTTAGTTCGTTCTCCAGTCTTGCCGTGTTGATTTTACTTAGACGGGGCGTTCACCCAGCTTGACTCTAAATGAGTTATTCTATTAGGAGTACAGTAAAGGGAATAGGTAGGGTCTGAGTCGATTTTCCACTTTTATTTATCATCGAAACATATGGAAGAAAGAAATCAAGATTATCAAAGAATTTCCTTGCAAATTGCATGTTGCTAACGTATATTATATATGATGATTATCACTGAAACTTGAGGTTCAGTCGATTAGACGGGTCAAAATAATAATAAAAAGTTTTTTTATTTTTGGTTACTTCTGTACAGTAGAAACCCCTGAACGAACGGGTAGTCTGTTAAAACGGTCACTTAGGCCTATTTATACTGCCGTCTTACGACATCATTTAGATCTAAACCGATCCAAGTCTTTACGCACCTAAAGAGATCTAATAACTATAAATGATTTATATCTTCCTTGTGTCTAAATGAGATTTACAAGGTATTTCCTGTAAAAAAGTCATCGCTATTTGATGATGCAGATTCATTCATAGAACTCGGTGATTTATTTATAAGCATTTATTTTTAGCCGTTACAACATAAAAGCCCAGATACCAGACGTATTAACTGGACGGAAAACAATAGCCGAACCACATGATTGTTGATAGAGGAACTTGAACTCGAAGCCACAAAAATGAGTGATCTTTCCATATAGCATCCTTTTGGCACTTTCCCCATGCGCCCGTCGTGCCTTAAGTCTACAGTAAGTCGAATTAGTTTACATTAATGAGATTCTCCATCGCCTTTTTGCCACACCACGCAACACAGGTAGTTCTACATCCAAAATACGTTGCTTAATGTGTAGGAGGCACCTGTGTCTATGATAACAAACATTTCTTCCATAACTTCTGGGATCACTACAGTCGCTATCCTTCACTAGGGCAATTGTACGTAAACAGTAACGCACGCCAAATGAAAAAACAAGTATCTTGCAGGGTTGCTAGATCTACTCATGTATTGGCAGCTCTATTGTAATACTGCGCATTGCGCACTATCCATTCTCTTTTGATTTGACGTATTAGCATTTATCATTTATAAACCGCCAAACAAAGGACATCTTGTCAGCATTTAGGATGAAGCCTGAAGCCCACAATTTCAAAGGGGTTGTGGAGGCTACTTCTGAAAAAGCGAATTCATTTGACTCAACAGCTGAGCTTAAAAAATTGCATTAAAACATCTAATTTTTACAAAGAGTCCCCGGCCTCCTGAATTCTTCTTACCGATAAAACCGGTCTGAATAGAGTAACCCAGACAATCCAGACCCCCCTTCTCTCCTATATAAGAAGGGGGAGGGGGGTGTATCTTTTTCACTGACCCAATTCTACTTCATTACGCTTGAAACAGATCCAATAGTTTTTTTAATTATTACATCGTCACTGATATACTACATTGTCCCTAGGCCAGGTCAAATAGTGTTTGATAATATAAGTAAAAAGTGCCACGGATGTCGGATAAAATGTGTTTGATCAGTTATATTCATTGGGGGTTCGTGTAGCGAAGAGTGTGTTGCACGGAAACGTACTAATGTTTATTCATTGTAACGTATGCATCCACCTGGGTAGATGAAAATGACTTATGTGACTGAAGCGATATCGATATACGCTTTATTCGGTTTTAAGGGCGTTTTTTCGTGAAATGCAAGCACTTTCCCTCGGTAATCGTATGTATGTCAAATACTACCGTCTACCAGGGTGGCAGATTATATAGGGAAAAATGGAAAAGGAGAGCCAAATGACTGTCTATTTATCTAGAGCTATATCTGTGAATATCTGTATAAAATCAATCTGTCGACCTGGTAGAGGGTAGTCAAATACTGCCACCCTCTCATGATATCTCGAGGTGTTCTGGCATATATCGCTCATGACTGCATTATCTCACCGAAATACCGCAGTGTGCATTCGAACAGGCCTGGGGTATTTACACGGCGGCACGACACACGGGTTGCTATGCATTGGGTTATAGCCCTTCTACTGTAGTAGTGCCCACGTCCATAAATATGATAATAAAATAATTATTTGACAAATATCATAATAGTTTCAATTAGCACGAAGTTTTATGTGCTAGCACTCCCATTTACAATTCTTAAAAAAATTACCTTTAGTAACTACATGTACACGCATTGCCTGTTTATAATTTGAGAGTATACTATTATCAACAAAATGTCAATGATGTTGAATATCGGTTCGTATGTTGTCACGTCGCTTTCAGGGCATGGCAATGAAACCTAGTTCGCACTGTTATATTAGGCCTGATGAAATACTGCTTCACTATGGCTAACGAGAGATATTGTGTTTAATTTCTATCGCAGGAGCATAAATGGATACCATCTACCAAGACCTAACAGATAAGACCAGCATTTGTAAACGTTTGGTGAATGTGGAAAAATGTTTTTTGTTTTGTTCGATTTGATGATCATGAGTTTGGCCAAATTTGGCAGTTACACAAATTGCAATGCATAATTGTTTTCATGCATATGCATACGCATGCAAAAATATACTGAGAGTAATGTCCGTGGAGCTAAATATTATATAGTATATATATAATACCAAAACATAGCCTCATGCTTGTTAAATCTGAGCCTAAAATATGATATAACCAATTACAAGAATGTATTACCAGTCTAGGAATAAGGTGAAAAGAGATTCTTTATAGAGCTTTGTCCAGACCGTTTCTTCAGAGAGTGCAGTGAAATAGCTAGACGTACACCCCATTTCCATAGATTTTTAGATCGATCTATCCCTGTGGGGAGTCTCACTAGATTACTGTCAGCTTGGCCGGCTTAAGCGTCTGTCCCGCCTATTAAAAGCTGTAAGGGGGTAATTAACTATGGTGCCCGCTCGGCTGACTGCAATTTAGCGTGAACCCCCAGGGAGTTAGGTCAATCTAAAACTTAATCTTTAGATCGATCTAAATCTCTGGGAAAGCACCCCTAAACGTCGTGCCCCGTTTATTCTGGATAAAGGATAAAAGTAATATCAGGAGGTTCTATAGGCCAGGCTTAAATGGCAACATCAGATAATCTAAATATTTTATCTAATTACTTGATTTAGAATGGATAAAATCCATCAGCAGCAAAGAGTCAGTAATCATAAATGTGATATGTCTTCAGATAAAAATTGATCTGTTTAGTAGTGTTATTCATAACGCTAAAATTTTAGACCCCATTTCTAGAGATTAGATCGATCTATTTAGATCGACCTAACTCCCTGGGGGTTCACGCTAAATAGCTGTCAGCCGGGCGGACACGAAAGTTAATTACCCCCTTACGGCTTGTAGTAGGCGGGATTATCTGACAGTAATCTAGTGAGACTCCCCGCGGGGATAGATCGATCTAAAAGCTCTGGGAATACAGCCTAAAACTGTACAATTTCTACACAATAAGCTGAAAGCGTACCTGAGAGCGTTCGTCTCAACACTTGGAACTTCTTCAGTCACTCTGAAATTACGTGACAGTGTATTGTGAACAGTTTAGTGAGACCTTTCACTATAAGACTGCCCCAGATGTGAGACAGGTTGTGCCTCCCCCGAATATAAATGGCTTCCTTCACCCCTCGATTGAATCACGGATGGTCACGGACCAAGATCTCCACATTGTCCCAACTGATGGTGGGATCAGGTGCCTCAACGTTGATGTGTCGTCAAACCTGAGATGTGTTGGAACAAGTTGAAATAATCGACATGAGTACAACTGTGTCGAGTGAGATAAAAAAACAACAAATATATAAGAGAAGCCCAAGAAATGCAACTATCCAATTGTGTTGAATTTTTATATTGAATTTTGAATAATTTATATTGGATAGCTAGAATAAAAGATTGATTCGTAAAAGAAAAATGAAAGCAAAACTCCATAAGGTGAATTAATGCTATACTTGAGAGTGTATGGGCTTAAGGGGGCTCCCACTGGCTTTGAACCGCTAGTATATTTATTTGGTCTTGTGCTTTTGCGTTTTTGTAATTAGACTCGAACCGGTTAGTCCTCGTTTCAAAGGCCGCATTCAGAACAGATGAACCTCGGACTAATTGTTCCCTGGATCAAATATGACTGACCCACTTGAAATAGATGTCGCTATTCCCTAATGGTCTCCCCGCCTACCATAAGCACCTGGCCTGCAGGGGCCTAGCAATTCAACGGATTAAATCTCTGCTCCGAGGTTTAATTGCTAGGCCCCTGCAGGGATGGCGCGTGAAGATGGCGAGACCATTAGGGGATTAGGTGGCATTGCTTTTAAGTAGGGTCGGCCATATTTAGTCCGAGGATCTGTGAGTCAGCGGATCAACTTGTTCTGAATGCGCTCAATGCAACCAAAAATTAATCTAAATCTGTAGAAGAGATCACGGGAATCCTGCCACTGGCTGTCAGTGGTCAAGACCATGGGCTCCGTATCTCGAAAGGTTCGCTATGTTGCGCACGTGCGCAAGCGTCTCGATTCCATAACTCGCCCATACTCGTCCCATGTTATACATTGTAGCCTCTATTTGATATAGCGATTCGCAATACGCGATGCTTTCGAGATACGGGGCCCATGTTTTCAGACTTAACGTCACTCACTGTATGGCCACTTCAAAGCTCCCAACACTCAGGCCGGAGTTCAATTTTGAACGGACACACATATTTAAAGTACAAAATTGAACTTCAGTTCTTATATGTCGCACTACAAATATGTTTTTTTTCCGGGCGGTTTGCATTGGACGCCGGGTCATTTTTGGCCAAGATACAACGTACAGACTGAATGTTAACGCACTCGCCTCCCTGGGGAGAATATTCAAAAGTACTATCTAAAGAGACCAGCTGGGTTTAGACGCAATTTTCTCAGTTTCTTTCTTTCTTTCAATTATTAATTAATTTATAATTATTCTTTTACAAAAATGTTCGACTAACAGTGAGGAGAAGAGCACTAAATAGCCAGAGGAATATCTGTGAATGCCTAGTGAAAATGTAATGTTAGTAATTGACAGCTATGAGTAAATAAGGAGCGAGGAGTGTTTTGTAGAGTAACTGAGTTGATTGGCATGCTCTAATGATACTTATACAACTGAAATGTAAACGGAGAGAAAGCCGCTAGAGAAAGCATGAGGTAAAAATAGAAATGGAAAGAAAGCGGTGCGGGAACCAAATAGAAAGTAGTTAATAAATAATGTGAAAGATTATAACAGAGTTTAATTTACTACCTCGCGTAACAATAAAAGATAAGACAACAACTTCATGACAAAAATCCTTCTCTGTGATTCTGGTACAGGGTATGCAGAAGAGATTAGTCGAGTACAGTTGTATATGGGTCGATGAAAAACGTTGCTTAATTGCAAAATCTAATGCAAAACAAATCGTTCATTATTAATGTTAGGGACAATTAGAATCACATCTGATGACAATCATGGAAGGAGAAGAGGACAGGTATTGACAAATGCCTGAGAAACGGCACATGGCGTTTGCTTACACGTGAACTTTGCCTATTTAATATTTATTTCACTTGCAATCCTTGTGTTCAACGGTGTTTACAGTAACTCTGCGGATCCTCGTAACTAAAATTAAATTAAATATTGTTTTATTTTTCTACAAACATTGTTTTCATTTTCCTAAATTATACGTATCTCAACTTACGGTGCAAGTACTTACATACAAATGAACTGATAAAAATGGTGTCCTCGGACTTTGGGTGGATTAATCTGCGATTGCGGTTTTTTGAATGGTTGTTGTTTTCGATTTCTGGTTAAAATACAACTATTTAGCGCCTGTAAGAACTAAATTCCGTGTAGCATGCCTGTGCCCACAGCTCCCCCCCCCCCCCCCCCCCCCCCCCCACACACACACACACATGCGCACCTTTGCTAAAATCAACATTAAAACCATAAATTCTATCCTTTTGATCAAAGGCTGGAAAGGACGTATCATTAAATAATGCACGGAGTAGTCCATTGCAACATTACAACATTTATTGTTCATATTTTTCGAATTGAAACGATCCAAAAAGAACATGATACTTTATGCCGTAACGTTCATAAAATATTAAAAAGCTGCCCTTGACAAACATTTGTTCGCTTTTAATTGCTATCGAACTATTCTGGCACAAGGGGCTGCTCTGTCCGCATGTAATTGTCTTCAACGTCAAATAAAGACGGAGACACGGCACCCCAGTAAGTTTGTGAATATTATTGACTTAGATAATGTCATTTTTATCAATAAATTATGAAAGGAGAAATAATCATGGCAGATTGATTTAGGTATAGCTGAAATGCACGCTCTCGTCCACGTGCATGCGCTCGTCGACGTGCAGTTACACCCTCCTAGAACAGATCAGAGAGAGAGAGAGAGAGAGAGAGAGAGCAACAATCATGCAACCCGTGCTGGTACGTGCATTCCTGATATTTCGCATCTGGTAAGGTTTTAATCTGTTATTTTAGAAATCTCAATGTGGAATACGTCATCAAAGAACAAAGATAAAATAAACGTACAATTACCTGCAGACTTTAAAAAGACTTTAATTTGAAAAAATGCAGGGTGTGCTGTTTTGATTAAATAATTTCTGCGAACAAACCAAGTATTCAACGTCGGGAAATTTGGCAAAGGATCTGGTCCCTTGTTATAATTTTCCATTAAAAAACAAGATAAATAACATTATATTAAAACTTTTACATATACGTAATAAAACTATTCGCGAAGTACATGGAATCGAATGCTTAAATGACTATTGGAATGGGAAAAATAATACAGTTAGAATAGCGATTTAAGAAAAAAAAAGGTTTGTTACCGAAAAAAAAATGAAATATGATAAATTTGTTTTCATAATCTTTGATTTTAAATCGAATAATGTAGATATTCATTGTAATTACTTTTATGTAAACCAACTAAAAAGGGCTGTCACGTTTGCGATCATGAAAATGTGCTCTCCTTGACCCACATTCCATAAGACAGTGTTGCCAACTTGTTATTACATTTTCCCCGGTCCACATTTCAGGTTTTTTTAATGGGTATTTGACGCTATACCAACCCAGCACCGTGACAACGAAAAAAGGGACATGTTCCAAGCAAAGAATCCGATTGTGTCAACGGATAATTTAAAGGGACAGTCAACTGACGATAACATGATTGTCATCGATGTCGGGGGTAAAGTGTTCCGGATGTCGCTTACAACCATCTTGGATTCCCGGCACTCTGACACCACCTTGGCAAGGGCAGTGTTAAACAACACTAACTACGACGCGATCACCAAGCAATATCACTTTGATCGTAACCCCAAAGTTTTCAATTATGTCCTGGACTATTACCGCTCTGGTGAACTGCACGCTCCGCTCGGCGTTTGCGGGGAGTTTGTGCGTCAGGAACTCGTGTTTTGGGGGATTCCGGGGAAAGCTGTTTCCCCATGCTGTGCTCACAAATTGGGGCAATATAAGCGCAGACTCCAGGAGAAAACGGCGATCGAAAAGGAGTTTAGTCGGAGGTCTGTCGATGACGTATGGCCGGTTGATGGAGAGGAAACTCGAGGATGTTGCTGCTCCGACAGAACAAAAAGAAAGCTGTGGCTGTTCTTGAACAAACCAAGATCCAGCAAAGCGGCCATGGTATGGTTGATTTCACTCTGATCTGTCATGTGAAACTGTAATTCTTTCTTCCTCTCAAAATGACCACGGCACATTTTGAGAGTAACTTCTTTGAGAATTTTTGTGTATTTTGTTATTTAACTTAATTTTCAAAAGAACGCCGCTCAATATTATCAGCAACTCTTGTGCATAAGCAAAACACACCTTTTTTTATTACGAAGTTGTTATTTCTACTCAATTTCCACCAGAGAAAAGGTGTCTCGTTGCTAAAACACTTTTCTTGTAGATATACCTGTCGTATAAGCTTCAATTTCACCTTCTTCACGACATTAAATTTGTAATATTTGTAATGTTTGCCTATCTGTATTGCAAAGTTTCTGTTTGAACGACATCATTTGAATTTTTTATGAGCTTCGAGCATTACACAGAAAAAGTACAGAAATTCAATAAATTAAGGTCTAATTGTAATTAAATTGTCCATGAGGTAGTCTCCGTTTCATTTCAGGTGTTTTTTCTGGTGTTATTTTCACTCATAATTTTGAGCATCGTCGTTATGATGATCAACACCTCCCAGTCTCTGCGTCAGCCCTACACTACGAGGGAACATGTCATGACGAGGTTACAGAACTCCATCTCCGCGATGAATATCACCAATGAGAAGATAAGCATGAGGATCACCACTACGGGACCCTTGTTTGCATTCGCTCTTGAATATATTTGTGTCGCATTTTTCACAGTAGAGTTTATTTTACGTCTGACCGCAGAGAGAAAGAAATGCGCCTTTCTCTGTTCGACTTATGCGATTTTGGACTTGCTGGCACTTATACCAAGTTACGTTGATCTCGTAGTAAAAGGGATTTTCTTCGCTGCAGCCTTGTATGAAAATTATACATATATAACGTTATTTTGGATAATTGAATTATTTTTAGTATTACGGATTTTGAGGTTATTTAGATTAGCCGAGTATTACGACGGCTTGAGGGTTTTGTTGCTTTCTTTAAAAGCCAGCTGGAAGGAACTCGTACTTTTGGAGGCATTTTTAATGATAGGTATGTCGATATTTGGCTCCATTATATATTACGCGGAGATAATGGAAGAGAATGGATATTTCAGTGATATAATGATTGGCTGCTGGTGGGCCGTTATCACCATGACAACCGTGGGGTATGGGGACACTCATCCCCAATCGTCTGCAGGTTACATAGTTGGCACTTTGGCAGCCACTTTTGGAATCATTTTGATGGGCTTGCCCATCGCAATCATTGCTAATAATTTCAGCAAATATTACGAGTTTATGGCCGAAAAAACGGAGAAGAGGAAAACCGGAAAAGAAGAAAAAACGCAAAAACATAGAGGAATTATTCAGGTGAAGGAGTTTCAAGTGAAGAATCAGTTAGATTCTTTTAAACACTCAAAAGTGAATCCTCAAAAATTTTGACTCGATTTCCCAACTGCTTACTTAGCTGTATATCCATGCCAGGTCATCTGATTCACAAGTTTTGCCGAATCTGTTGTCAAGTGATGTTTCCTCTGACGATAACTACTCTTATATTTTGTTTTGGTGCGTGTATTTGCGGGTACATATAATTTGTGACTACGGATATTACATGTACATAGGGATGCAAATATGGTGTATTTTAGGCATTTATATGATCCATGATATATGGCGAAATATATCTATCAGTGCGTCAACGTCCAGCCTTAAGTTAAAACAATTTAAGACAAATAGTCGATCACCCCCCCCCCCCTTGGTCACCCCCTTCTCTCAGACACACCTTGTGATATCCCGATGCCTGTTTTAAGAGACGTCTAAGGTTTTTGGGCTTCACTGCCATCACTGCCGCCTTTTGTATTATATTTGTATTTACTGGTTGTTTCTTTGTACCAATATCAGTTTGTTTTAAGGCAAATAAACTATTCTAATAAATGTCACCATTAACAGTGAAAATAACTGTCATGACCATTGCAAATTGCTCCCGGGGCTTAAAACCGAGGAACAAGGAAAGTTGAATTTTTAAATGTTTTATTTTTGTTGTTGTTGCGGTCTGTGACGGTCAGTTGTTCTGGAAACACTCCCTGGACCTGCCTGGTGATACAATGATACAATTCACAGACATGTCTACAGACAGCCAGGAAGTACTAATAAAATATTGCACACCGTGCGTAATAAACCCAGACAAGCAGGTGTGTCACATTTTTTCTTTACTTGTTTTCAGTAAACAATTTTTATAAAACGATTCATGCTGACCTTTGATGGGTTCAGCGAAGCTGCACCCTAACTATCGGCTATTTTAACCAAACAATCAATCTTTATCGATTCAACACGTGTGTGACAAAGGCTATGGCCTAACAATTACATATGTTAATTTTGCACATTATGAAGGTGCATTCAAATACATTATACATCTGGTACATGTAGTACTCATAAGCAAATAAGAGATTACAAGACAAAATACACATTCAAGAGAAAAATATATTGGCTCAAATTACACAGGTGTTCATTTGCATACAGGTGTGTTTGAGATAGGCTGGATGGGGAAAGAGGAGAGAATAGGCCGCGTGAGAGGGTCATACACTGCATTTTAAATACACTGAAAATATAAGGGCCTTCTTTAACTTGTATCCACTCGTGATTTTATTGAGTCATAAGAAGAAATGACATAAGTTGCTCGACTCCGAGATCGAAACAGATAGGATGTTGGCAGAACTAGATGTACCGCGCCAGTTCTCACGGCATATGAGGTTTGAAATATTTAGCAATCGCAAAACATTCTCAACAGGGAAGCTTTAAAAGTAAATAGAGCATGAGGACTTTATTGTTCGTAAATTAAGGCAAACGGGGAAGTTTTTAAAGTAAACAAAATATGCTGGCACGGTGAACAGGTCAACAGTGCATTGTACGAGAATTAACAAAAGGGAAAAGGCTGCGCAAATCTTTAATATGGAGATGGATGTAAATTGTACATGTTCGAGGGGCGGTTAACAAAACTAATGAGCTCACAGTTGATTGCTTTATTAACAGCGTCAGCCAATAATTCAACATAACATTTCAAACGGAAGCCACCAAAATTGAATTGCAACTGACATATTTCCACGCTAGAACACAATTTTATTCAGTGGCAACGGAGAATATATGAATCTGGTACTATATCCTCTCGGGGTCCTGCTGACACAAATCTTCTCTAAAGCAATTGTGTCGCGGGCATTTAAAGCATGCAGTGTGCGTTCATCTATAGACCCATTCCCTACCCTCGATATTAGGGGGCCACTAAAAAACTATACAAAATCAGGCTATGCATTTTTGTAACAGACTACCAGCGCACCCTACGGTCACAGAGTACCCATTTTCAAGCTTCAAAGCCCTAACTTTTAATGTCACTAGTAAAATTCATTTCTTGAGAGGGGCTAAGACTGCGTTCCCATAAACCCAGCGTACAAGCTGGATCGATTTAACTCTGCGGGACTTCTCGCTAGAGTGCTTTCGGTTTTATGAGCTTAATTGTCTGGCACGCCCCCTTGAGAAACTAGGGTGTAATATTGACTATCGTTAATTACCACATAACAGCTTGATTAGGCGTGCCAGACACTAAGCTACTCAAGGAGGCATGTCAGGCAATTGAGCTGATTACAGTGATTGCACTTTAGTGAGAATCCCTGCAGAGTTGGATCGATCCAGCTAGCACGATGCGTTTATCTGAACGCTTCCTAAGTCAGCATGCCTGGCCTTGGCAAGAA